TGCCACGAAACTGGGTGGGGCTTATCTCTACAAAAATGTTGAATGGTTGGATTTCTGTGTATCGATGCGGTGACAAAGTGTAACTGTACTTTCCATTTTAATGGAATCATACAATCATTTATTTTCTTCTTTTTAATGGTACCATACGGGGACATTCTTGAGCTGATATTACAGTATATGAATTTTATTAGATAAAATAAGAGTAATTATATTCTGTGTACATGTTCCATTGAAATACAAGTGTATTTTATTAAATATAAATATTACAATAAATTTGAATAGATTGTGAAAAAATGTGATTATTTTGTATGAAATAGGTACACTTATAGAGGAAATAAAAACATGTATATACCCCCCAGTAAAATCGGCCATTTCATTTGTAACGTATCTCATACAGTATCCGAGACTGTCGCCAGAGTGGGACGTCCGATGTGTACCTTCGTTTGACGGCTGTTTGCTTGAAGGAACGAATTAGATGGTCTCGGCGTGTTGCTCATTTCGATTTCGGTCCCAGCCGATAGGTACGCTCGGTTGCATATAAACCTGTAGTGTACATAGATCGTCACGTGTCCACGTATCGGTCCACGAGCCCGACGGTGCTTTACGTCACTCCCTAGCATGCGGTAAACAAGTCGGTATTCGCGAAACGAGTCTGGCCCATGGCCAAAGATCCGCGTACATTCTCCGGCGATATCTGTCCACCCATGTCGCCGTCACTTTACTTCTGTCAAGATTGTATTAAACGACTGTATTCTCACCCCCGATTTCCGGTAAAATTTGCCGTATCGGTGAAGTTTATCTGTCGAGCAGATCCTCATCCATTCTACTGTAGTAGATGTATCTATGTATCTACTTTAAAATATCTGGGATAGAAACACCTGGCGACTATTTCGCAACTGAATTTGAAACGGACGAGTTAACTCGTCATTTCGAAATAGTTACTTCTTCACTAGCAACGACGAGTTAATTCGTCATTTCGAAATAGTTACTTCTTCACTAGCAACGACGAGTTAATTCGTCAGCAATGTTAAAAATTTGAGCCTTTCGCAAACGAATGTACGTATCATTTGTGTTTCGCATTGCTACTAAAGAGGCAGTATATCTTCTGATGTTCTTTCGATTCTGTTTTGTCATACTCCCAAATTATGTCATGGCAGGTTTTATCATTCTATTTGCGTGTAACTAATGAGTCAAGTCGAGGTAACGCATCTTTTGTCATTTGTCATCAACCAACCAGGGAACGCTTTCAATCGAGAGATGTGCCAGTTAACAGGTTAATACATTATTATTACGAGACTTTCTACTTTTACTTTCTCTTACACCTACACGTGGTCCACTTGTAGTAACTACATAGTTTGATAGAACCAATCATTCTGAGGTATTATAGTGTTGTGTAGTGTCCTATCAATTGAATTATAATAAAATTATATTTCTATTAAAGAAAGGTGAATTTGTGGAATAGGAATGGGTCTTTTAAGTATTTTAACGTACATATTTCTAATGTTCCCTTGTGATACGAGTGCTACACATTGCGTGGCATAACTATAAAACCTCCCTAAAAGTTTCAATCCTTATGTATTGTGGTTAAAATAAAAACTAACCACTTTTTTCTATAGGGAATAATGTGGTTCTTTTTTATTTTAACTACAGTACGTAAGAATTGAAAATTTTAGGGTGGTTTTGTAGTTATGCCACGCAGTGTAGGATGATTCTACAATCGCTGTTAATGTCATTAAGTGTGTTAATTGACGTTTACACGTTCTAAAACGTCCTGTACATACATACTATTCATTTATGCGCTCATAGTTAAGGAGATATCGTGCAGGCGTGTTTTTTTGTCGTTTAATGTAATCAACGAAAGGAAGAATTAATGTAATCCACGCAAGAATGTTTCTTTCATACCGTCGCGGGTTCTGTTCACGGAAGGCGAACACGTTTTGTATCTTCGTGGAACAAGTGATTTTGTTATTGAGCGAACCTGTTGCACCATTGACCGTGTAAATGTCGAAACGATCGATCTCCGTTACAATGGAAGCGTGTTTATTTGTACGATGTATCTTTTGACGGGACAGATCGTTTGACATGATTTCCACCGTTAGTTTTTCAACCCTTTAAAAAATTTTATTTTATTATTTTCGAAATTGTCACTGGAATCGCAGTTATCTACTAATACACTCAACTTTTGATTGCTAATAGAACATACAGAATTATAGTTGTACTGTTTATTTTCAATGTGATGCCAAACCAATTTCAAAAAAATCGATAATATGGTTGTGATTATTAATTAATTACAAATTAACGCACAAGAAAAAGTAGACTTACATCACTTTCAAAATAAATGTCTCAGTTGTTTTATTCTTGTTGTATTTTCTGTTTTAAACTTTGAATTATCATTTATAAGAAAACTAATATTTACTACAATTTATTTTTTTTTTATGATCTATGAAATTTCTAAAATTTTTTATCAGAATATTTCAGAAATAGTTACTAATAATCAAGTCTAACGCTGTTAGTTTGCCTCGAAAAGATATCGATGATCAGGCAAACGTTATCAGAGTTCATTAACTTAACCTTAAGCTCGATAAAGTTCGATTTCCCTCGGTGAGCTATCAATTTAGTGACGCGACTGTGTAAACAACACTTCCGTAGAAATTGTTCGCCATGATCTAAATAAACATTTTTACTCGTTACTGCGTTTTAATGTTGTTTTTACCAGTTTCACGAGATTACTTTTATTTCTCCCGTAAGAGAGTTTACTTTTGTCGTTCTGTTTATTATTAAACCGGAACATTTCGCGATCAAAAGCGCTCGTTGGCTATTTAGCGATAAATATACTGCAGGTTTATGTTCATATTTTTGTCGATTAATTCACTAAACCAATAACAGAAAAGGGATTTATTTATTTGAAAGGTAATAAATGGGCGATTATCATTCTAATAATAAGATAATGATATGAAAACTGTCTTAAACTTTCATGAAATCACTCGTTTTATCGTCTTTCGTAAATACTGTAAAACACAAAAATATCCGCCAGTCTCAATTCATTGACAAACGACCAAAAACCACGGAACTTATGTCGTGTCTGGTTAAAGGGACGAAGCTTTTTCTAGAGTTAAATTTTCTATGCTTTCGTTTCGAACGTTCGACAACAGTGATTAAGATTAAGCGGAAAGTTGAATCACGGCGAAACGCGATTGTCTTTTAAACGGGCAGGGATGATTTACTTGCCGTTCGTGTCGGGCATAATAAAAACCGACTCACCGGTGTGTAATGTGTGTTCTAGCGAGACTCACGATACAGACAAACGTTTCCACGGTTACGAAATAGAGGGCGTACTTACCGCAATGCGCCAGTGACGTGTTCGCGTATGCAACAAGGCGTTCTTAGCTCCTTGGAAAAGAGGAAAAAAAAAATAAGCGGGAACGGATTTTCCGTCGCATCGACGAGGAGGACAGATGAAATCTTTCGAACGCATCCGTTTGCGTCATTGTTAGAATTATAGTGAATCGAAATTTTACAGAAAAATTTGTAGTTTGTATATTTGGAATAGAATATAAAATTATTTGTAAATTAGAACAGAATCATAGTATTATATGAAATTTTGCAATAAAAAGTTGTAGTCTGTATATTCCAAATAATAATAATTACTACATAGGCACAATATTAAAAAGTATGGTACTAAGAGAAGATAAGCTAGAAATGATGGAGTGATATAGAAATAAGTATGACGTAAGAAACAGCAAAAATATAATACATATAATGTTGAGTTTTGTGAAAAAATGAAGTACAAAAAGTAAGAGACCGAATATTAGCAAGTAATGTATTTTAATAGCGGAGTACCAGATTACAATATTAGTGCATTCTACATTTTGACAATAATAGTGATATATGTAGTTCACAAAAATTAATTTAACATTTCTCTAAATCATGTATCAATGGTAACCATGATTAAATTTGCAGTGATGTTTTATTTTTTAATTGGACTTCTCATTGAGATTTATGTTAATATATGTTTTCTGCAGAATTAATCCATCTGTTTGAAAATTCTTCGTTCGATTGTTAAATAAGCGGTTAAAAAAAAAAAAGACGACAAAAGTTTCCCGTCACTTTAATAAACGCCCATCTCCCTGACGGCACGTAATTATAAATATTCACTTTCTACAAGGGCAATCGAGACCACTGACTTGCGAACGCATTATTCGAGTTAATTGATCGATTGGCAAAGTTTATTTTTACCTGTCGCTTTTTTTCGGTGTCACAGTTACGACCCGGTATTGCTAGTCGTCACGTGTGCCTGCTAAAAATGAAGTATGACCCCTCCTTCGGTTAAAGGATCGCAAATGTGTTGGAAAACGTAGCGTCGCGAGAACGTCCAAACAGCGACAAAATGATCGTGCAATGAATAGTCAAGCGGACACCGTGTACCCGTCGTAAACTCTCTCGAAGAGGGCCTTTCATGCACAAGAAAGGAAAAATAAGTAGGTTCTTTCATATGCTTGATAATACGACCTTGAGTCACAGAGACAATCCGCGACGACGACCTCAGCTTTCTTCGCGAAGTACATCCGCCATTTAGTTTCATTGGTGTCTCCAAAATTAGCACAGTAGAAGGTTAATTATCTGAAATGTTAAACGAAACGTCTCTCCGATAGTTCTTCGAGTCAGAGGATCAGCAAGTAAGCAATCATCGCAAACGATTTATTGTGACTTTTAGAAGTGAATCTGTATTACAAATTGCGAAATGTATCTAAAAAAAGAAACTTACACAAATTTAATTCTGTTCTTCAGTCAAAATAATGTAGGATATTGGAGTCAAATAACATTATCACGAAAAAAACAAAAAGATTGGTACGTCTAATAAATTTTTCATAAACTATCACCAGTCCAACAATAAGTAACTTCGCAATAGTCATCTATAGTCAAACATTAAAATCTACACGGACCATGGGCAGAAGGGCAATGAAATATTAATAAACACGCGGCGATATTTTGTTTTCCAGATTCCTCGATGGAGAGTGCCGGCGGTGACAAGCAGAACGAGTCGGACGAGTGCGATGTGATCGGGAACAATCGGCACGATGGCAAGATGACCGGCCAGGAGGACACGAACGTGAAGATCAGCGAGGATCTGACGGCGAAGCAAGAGGCCATGAAGAACTTGAAGAATCTGGATACGATCGGTCAGAACGACCAGGAGACCGCGGAGAAACTGTCGAAGGCGGTGTCCCAGGATGACGAAGACGAGGAGGAGGACGAGTGCAAGGGATCGGACGAAGACCTGAAAGAGGAGAAAACCGACGGCAAGAAGGACGAGGAGTCGTCGAGCAGCACAACGTCCACCAGCACGTCCGATGACGAGTCTGAGACCAGCTCGGATGATAAGACAGAGGCGTCGAAGACCGAACAGACGAAGACGATCGAGCCGGAGGCAAAGAAAGAGGAACAGCCCAAGTACGATGACACCACAGACGACAGCGACATCGAAGACGATTTGATCTCTGCCATCAACTACAACACGATCACATCACTGGCTGCTCTTAAGGACATGCTACAGTCTTCCGGGGAGAACTCGGACGGTGTTGACAGTTTCTTTCATCATTACTTTCTGTCACACGTGAACCGGCTGCCATCCAGGAACCAGACCCACAGCCCCTATCCTTGGGGCAGAAGGCTGTCCGAGTGCAGGGAGGAGGACGAGTACGAGACCGAGGAAGGTGAGCGAAAATTCTTGCTTATTTCCAGTTTCACTTTAATGGAAACAGCCGTATGACATACATATGAATAGGTCAACGTACTACCGACACACACGTCAGCTGTTGCATATAGTACAGTCGTCCTAACTACGCGAAAGGTCTCCGCGCGCAATCAACTGGAGGCCTTTGTACGCAGTTAAGACGACTGTACTGTACGCTGACTCGTAGGAACATACTTTTAAACATCGTAGAACATAGAACAATCGCGTTTTTGTAAAAATTTTAATGTTAACGTATATATTCAAAAGAAGTCACGAAAGTAGAAGTACTTTAAAAAAATTAGTTCATTCACCAAACAAAAATTATAATTTTTCTGTTTTATGGTCTTTCGATAAAACCGTAAAATATAGAGATATAAAACCTTAAGCTTTTACTGGGATTCAAAGAAGATCAAGAACTAGAAAAGTTTCAAAAGATTCGCAGAAAGTACGCTCATTTTTCAGAGCGTTACGCTGATTTCTGACCTCTTGAACTTGGCAACAACCCTCCGTGAATCGTCGTGATGGTCAGTGGCGGGTCACTTTTGACCAGCATCAAAGCCCGTAAATTCAAGCCACGCGTCGATCGTTTTCACTGAACCGTTTTCAGATCGTCGCGCATTAATGATGAAAACTTGTTCATTTAGATTCAATCACCGCCGTTTTACTCGCTGCTGCATCGTAACGCCGTTGGATCACGCTGGATCGCTTAAGCCTTTTTATTACGTAAAATGATCGGCGCTACAGTGGCGGGTTTTCGCGACCGGTTGCATCACGACTCGCGAATATGTGAATTTGTTATCGTCGGAATGTTTCTCGTGTCGCATTGTTTTTTTTATTATTATTATTATTAAAAGGACTAGGCAGTCAGATTTTGTAAAAGTGTAACTTTTCTTTAGTTATTAATTACAAGGAAATGAATATCTAATTGTGATTAGTACGTTTGGGCAATGTTTATTAATACTATAAACTGTCAAAAATTTGTGTTTGATTATATTGTGTTTGATTATACCATTCGGAGGGGAATATAGGCTTGGGGGTCACTCGAGCATCTCTGATCCACATTATTGTCCGTTCTAGATGATTCATTGGTGCAAAAATGCAGTTCTTTTGTTACGAGGGTCGAGGATGAGTGTATACGATTAAAGTCTAGATCAGTTACGAATTCTGATAAGATTGCGATCGAGGGGCAAACAATGTGTGTCCACGGCAATATTCATAATTAGATATTCTTTCTTCTCCGAGATATGTACTACACGAGCGGGTAAACAGGAGTGTCGGTATAATTATGTAGATCGTAAATAAGGTTTCTGCGTCATCGGTGTCCAGTTATAAATTGTATTGTTCGAGACCGTTCGATTGTTCGATGCATGAAATCTGACCAATCCCTCAACAGAATGAAATGGGGTACAATATTTATTCAAGCCCTTTTGTAGTAATGATGTGCGCTTTGTGTACCATTCCAGTGGGTTTCACATTGTTGTGAATTCAGTCAACATTGTTACGAAATGGCCCTGTGCGGTCTTATTTAATAGAACGAAATTGAAGATGAAATCTCTGTGAATAAGAATTTTTGTAAAGAAATAGAACAATATCAAATGACTAGTATAAAGTACAGTAAGATTATCGTATTTTCAATAGCTAGAAAAATAATCGAAATGTCGCTCATTACGATCATTTAGATTACTCCAACTGCTATCAACGGTATGAAAAAGAACACTAAACAGTGACATGGTTGAATCTTTATTATCCGCCGATAATAATAGGAAACAAAAAACTAACCATCGTTTTTCCTCATTTTTTCATATCTTCGATATTAGCGGAAATAATTCAGATGTGCATAATTAGTGAGACACCGTGTGCATTCTGCTACGTTGCATCATAAAGGTTGCATCTTGCTTCACAAATTGCCGCCAGTCACACTTGCAGGAAGTCGTTGAGTTTAATGAACGTCTCTGGCGCGACGAACGCGGTGTCATTCCGCTAATCTGGGAAAAACTTCGCGAAATTTTACCGAATGTAACAAAGGACATTCTGTATATCAGGTAGAAAAAGAAACTGGGCGATGACGTTAATGTATACTAACTTTTGTCGACGAAGTTTCTGCAACATATCTTACACAAACTTAAATTTTATGTCCTGGTATAGCTCGAAAATCTGGCCGAAAACTATACTTAACGTTTATTCCGCTCTCAATTATTCAAACTCGATACAATGCCTCCCGCAACCAGTCTTGACAAGGTGGTATTTTGTGAGCTAATTCACGTGCCATATGCACTTCTACATATCTCGACAACGTAATAAAATCACGATTTGGCCGGGAGCTTTTGGCAACCACTGCAACTATTACAGAACATACATGTCCCTCCAGAACTCTCAATCGACCGCGAAATAACTCATTGCAAACGAACCGAGGGACCACAGATGAATCGTTAATGTATGTACAAGATTAACTTAGCACAATGATTTCAATACTAATAATCAACAAATGATATTTATTTATGGAAATTAACACTCGTGTTTATGCCCCACTCGTGCATATCATTGTTCAGGACAAATATTGAAGAAGTCGTTTTCTGTTCGACAATTGTTATTATGAATTAACCTATCAGTAAAAAAATATGTAGTTTTACATATTTCATTCGTCATCCTTCAACTCACTGAGGAAATAAGCGTACCAGTACGCCATTTTTGGCACTGTTTTTTTAAATATTAAGATTTTCTCAGTTGCACTGGAGATCGAATAATTTGACTGCATTAGGTGAACATTTTTCGTTTTCATTTTTTCGGTGGGTGGGAGGAGGATTTAACCACGAATAGAAGTTCATTCTTCGAAAACAGTCCGCCTAGCGCTCGCGTGGGCTCGTCGTTGCATCTATGGCGGATCGCGCGGAAACCAGCATGCATTGCGAAACACGATTCGGGCATTAAAACCGCGGCCGCGGAGCTATTAGGAGGAGCCCTCTCGCGCACTCGTTCAATAAGAGCTAAGATTAGCGTTTGCGACCGGTGGTTTAGCTTCGTTTTAAGTTCCGTTTGGCAACCGATTCTGCCTAACCAGCGCGAAAAGTCGCCTTGCTTAGGTAACGATTAGATTATATTTAGAGATTATTTCCGTAACGGGAAACACGGTAACTCGATCATTCGACGAAGATTATCCATTTTTCCTTCGAGATTTTTTCAATTAGAAATATGTGCGTTTGTAAATCGATGTCTTTAAGATAGATATAAATGTGTAACACTGTCGGCCAAAAACGTGGAATCACGTGCTGGGATTTATTATTGGGTCGGCGCATGTGGAGCATTGGTTTTAATGGTCGATGCATTAAATCGCACTGTTATGAATGAAACTTGATAACAGTGATCACCGTTGTTTGAAAATTTCAAACTTGATTTGTATTTTTTTTTTCTCCATGATTTTGTCGTACGCCAAACTATACGACATACATAAATCGCATCGACAGATGGAATTGTATTTCAGACTCGTCGAAGCGACTTAGGTTGTACGAGTAGTTGTACAAAAAATAGTATCGCTTATGGACCGCTCAAGGGTCAAAAACCGGCACCCAACTATGCGTCGACCCTTCATTCTCGGATGAAACAGACGAGCGCAAGCAATCCGTCGGGACACACGGTATGCAAAATTCCCGGCGCAACAGACACGTCTTTGTGGCTAGCAGCGAACCTTGAGCGAGCCACGGAGAGTGTCGCAAGTGCAGCGGTGCCGAATAACGGCCTCTTTGTTCGCGATTGTACGTTCTCGTTCGATCATCTCACCTACAACCTCGTGTTCCAGGGAAGAACGTGGACATCCAATCAGTGGCCATCGATAGCAAGAAGGATGTCCCGAAGATCGAGGAGCCGGAGGAGAAGAACGGGAACGGCTCCTCGAAAGCGTCCAGTCCGTCCATCTCCGAAAAGTCCAGCTCGGAGAGGATCGATCAGAAATCGAACGCTGCCCAGAGCGTCGCCGAGCCGAAAGTTACGGTTCCGGCCCCTGTGACCACCACGACCATCGTCATCGCCACTACCACGACACCGACGCCCACCACGGCGTCCACGACCACCATAGTGACAACCACCGCCACGTCGAGATTCACCACGTGCGCCGTCACCTCGCCGACATCGGCCACCAAGCCTCAGCTGAGGAGACGACACACCGCTGGACCCGGAATGACCTTCCCTGCCACCGATCCGCCGACCTACTCGTCCAGCATGACCTTCTCGAGAACCAGCCCGTTACCCAGTCCCCATCTCGACAAAAGGTTCTTCGACAGCAGCCTGATCGAGATGAAGAGCCAGGCAAGCAGCACCAGCACCTTAGACTATGACTCCACGGAGGAGGTCTGGATACGCAGGGTAGACTTCGTGCAGGAACGAAAGAGGAAGGTAAGTGGAGCTTAAGTTTGCTGTGTTGGATGCCCTCTTGGGAATTTCAATCACGTGTACTGTATTTTTTGTGATGATTGTTGGGGATATAGTGGAGGGAGAAATGGGATTCGTTGATTAGGGACTGGATACGGAGTAAATACTTGTAGGTCTTTAGCTTGCCTAGGGACAGAGGTAGCTAATTTAGCTACCGAGACCGTTGAAGATTCTTCTGGTTCTGATTGGTGTAATTCGAATATAGGTGGCTGCCACGTTTTAACAGTTAGAAACTGTACTATCTACTATACTATATGGATATAGGTTACAATCTAATGAATTCACGTCTGGATTTCTTGGAGAGCTGATCTTTATCGGTTCCGTGGAAAAGTTTGGTCAACCGAACAGAAGTGGCTGTTCTTGGACATACATGAATTCTGATAATCCAAATAATACAGGATCCCGATTTATGCAAGAGTCCCACTTCTGAAAATTGTACGAGGGGGAAAAGAAAGGGTAATGTGCTGGGAGTCGAACCCAGATATTTCACTTAGACGACGAATGTTTCGACCAATTAAGCTACCTGGACCAGCAGCCATTCTACTTCTCCCAATGCATATAACGTAAAATATGATGGCTGTTGTGGTTAGGTCAGACTATATTTAATGAATTCAACCAAAGGAGGCATCAGTTCACTTGAAAATAGAGTATTACTTACCTTAAGTAACATGAATCATTTCAGACAACTTCGAGCAAGTTTTCATAGAGTTACGAGTACGTTTCGGGAGTCTGTTCGAAGAAACTTTGGAATCGATTGTTTTTGTCAGAGGTCGTGAATCGAAGCAGCACGAATGTTCTTCGAAGCAGCTTCCCTCGTGGTGCCTCACGCGCAAGATGAGAGCACCAGACAGATATCCAGCTCGTCTAATTGTAGTAATTGACTAATTGCGGCGCGTCGGAGAACGTTCTCGCAAATTTGTTTACCGCGGCCGCGGTACGAGTCGTTGCGAAAGTCAATGGCGCAACGGTATACTGCTTACCCGCGGCACAATAAAATTGAGGATTGGGTTTCAGATTGCGACATCGGCGCGGTCGCATACTTCCCTAACGACAACGCGGCGAAACGTTCCCGCGATTCGGAATTCATATTTTCCGAATCTGTACAGAACATATTTTTCCTCGTGTGAAAATACATCGGGGAAATCGACGATGGATTTCGAGTGAATTGTTTCGTTTTTTCAATTAAACCGGAAACGATCGATTGCGAATTTTTAGGTTAGGGTTCTGACGATGCCTATCAAAAGGCGATCGATAAGTAAAACTTTTTAGATTCACCTAATGAATACTATCAGGAGACATGATAAAAAAGGTCAATATTTTTTGGTCCGGCGAAGTAAAGTTCAGTTCACCAAAAACACAAATAATTCACCCTGAATAGAAATGACGTTCTTTTTTTTTCACAGTTGAACGAGCACTCGCCGTTTCCAGTAATTATTCTTTTTTTAAACGCCGTACATGCAGGCTGTGACCATTTAAAGGTTGGTTCATAATGAGCAAGGTGTGGTTCGTACGGGCATGATTGCCAGAGGGGAATTATGGTTGTCACGAACGGCCAATCACGCGAGGTGTACGATCATCGATTCGCACCTCCGTTTCGCGCGTGATCTCATCAAGACGATTTTCTCAATCGATATATCCGAAGCGCATCACGGTACTTACGGTTTATTTATCACCTTTCCGGCACGCTGTACCGAAATAAACAATCCGTAATAATGGTTGTAGTAAACAAAGAATGATAACAGTTCAGCGTTACTAGAAGTTTTCTCATTATACGTATTGCAATGTAACTTTTTTTGGTGCACCTAGCGATGCATATTTTGACGCTACAATAATAACAATGGTAATTCAATGGCAATTGCAAAATCGAATATTCGTTGCATTGGATGAAAGTTTTGTCTTCTTCTGTTTTTCACAGAGCCCCTCCATATTACGTGGGCTAAAAATCCGCAGTCTGGTAATTACTTTTTCGAGTTGCGATCTGCGTTCGCGAGATCGAATCGCGTTGGCGCAGCTTCCGTAAACAAGCCGGCTAACGGCCCCTCGATGCCTTGGTGTGTAACCATGGTGTGTTCCGCGGTTATAAAAAGAAAGGTTCGACGAACCGGCCGCAGGGTACTCGGAGGGCCTTACCTTCTTTCTCGGGAAAGGGTAGATTACCTTGGTCACGAAGTATCAGCGTTACGAGCACACGGACCACCTCGCTTAACGAAGTCCTCCTTCATCGCTCGAACAATCGAGGTCGATTCACGAGCTCGTTTCAGCGCGTTTAAATTCGCTTTTGCATACCCTGAAGCCTCCTTAATGCATTATATTATCTACGTTGGTGAAACTTTAGGTGTATTGAGATTCAACAATTTTATACAAATAAATATATCTTACCGAATTTTTACGTATACTGAGACAGATAACACGTGGGAATGCTGTAAACACACTGGGAATTCTAATTGGCACCAGAAATATTTACATTTTTTTTTTTTCATTAATCTTCCTATGACAATAATAGCGATCAAGTAGTGGTAGAAATATTTTGTCATCTAGAGGGAATGGCGTGGGAAGTGTTGAGAATTTTCTATGTTAGTAAAGTGTTCATAAAATATTTCTTTTAAAATAACTTCTTAATTATCCACAATATACGAGACGCAGAACAATGAAATTCGAAAAACTCGTCTGAATATATGAGTAAATAGCGAAGTGCAATGCGATCGTTATTTTTACACTTAGCTATGCTTATCTGCTTATGGAACACTCGACTGTCCAAGCATGAAATGGAATAAAACTTTGAATAAGTTTTACCAGTTCTGTTCTACACAAGTATACGTTGTCTATGACATTCAATGTTCGAGAAACACCTTGAATACAATGTTCTTTGATAACTATAATTTGAACCGATTGAAACGTTTAACCTGTTTACTATCATGTTCTTCAATCGTAAGCATTCCCTTATTGGTTAGTGACAAATGACAGAAGACTAGCTACCTCGTCTTGACTCATTACTTACACGCAAATAGAATAGTAAAACCTGCCATGACATAATTTGGGAGTATGACAAAACAGAGTCGAAAGAACATCAGAAGATATACTGCCTCTTTAATAGCAATGCGAAGCACAAACATTCATTCACGAAGGGCTCAAATTTTTACCATTGGTGACGAATTAATTCGCCTGAGTTAAGAAGCATTTCGAAGTGACGAGTTAACTCGTCTTGCCCGGTGAAGAAACATTTTCAAATTGACGAATTAACTCGTCTTCATTGGTTATCAGGTTAATCTATACATTATTGCAATACTGGACGGGCTTGCACGCTGGTTGACAGAAATTCGATTACAATCGTCATAAAATCGCGTAACGATTTCAGATGACAGCAACCGTGTTTCTAAATTCGCGATATCATTTGGCCCGGATCTCGACGCGGCTGCTTCAATGATTCATGATACGGGACTGGGGCGTGTGTAACTGCAGGGCTTCCTTTAAGCTCTATCGATTCGGCTCGAAAGACGAATTACAATGCGTTGAGAACTGTTATGATGGATACCCACGACACGTAAGGCCTCCTTCGCTCCCGATGCTTTCAGTACGTGAATTGCATGCGTAAATAGTCGCGCGCAGCGAGATTAGGCCGGTAAATACAGTGACTCAGCAATTTGTTCGCGGAAGGCTATCCTGTTCGTTTGACCAAATTACATGTACAGGGTGTCCCATTTAAATCAACCCACTCGAATACCTTCGAAACTATTATCGATATTAAAAAATGTTTCAAATGAAAAGTTAAATGGTATCAAGGGGCACACTTTCCGATGTAACTTATGTGAACGCGTAGAGTTCATACGAAGGTCAACTTTGTTTTTGAAATGGAATCGTTGGACACCCTATATATGTACACCGAATGCTGCTTTTACACAAACTTTTTATACACCATTTCGATTTAACACGAATTAGAAAAAAAGATTTCATTCTCTTTTTTACACGACCCATTTTGGTTTAATATGTGTTCTGTAAAAGTTTTATCTTATCTTCGACCTCTCAAAACTCTCGATAAATGAAAGAAATTTCCGCTCCATTGACGCTTGTATAAAACAAAATCTTCGAAGATTTCAGTTTGTCCACACAGCTACAGTCTAGTTGCAACGATCTTATGGCATTGATCATATCGAGCTTCGTATCTTGTTTAGAAAAGAGTACGCTACATGATAGACCATAAACGAATAAAAGTGTCCGCAGTCGAGCGACAAATGTACGTTCGGGATTCATGAACACTTTCATGTTTTCCGACAATTGATGTTTGTTGACGCAATGTGAAAATTGTCGTAAACACGTTCTACCGCCTCGATAACACATTGTTCCTCGGTACATTTCTCTCGTATCTCCCCCCTCCCTCGACAGGTAAACGACGACGGAATTAAATGAAGTGTGAACGGGCTTTATTTGTTGTTCGCGATATTTTACTCTTTTGTTGCGTAACCACGGCCGCGTGCGACGACTCATAAGACCGTTTTAGAGTACAAAGAATTTTACACGTGCTTCGGTTCGTGACAGGCATCCGAACTGAGTAATTGCATCCCGGTGTGTGTGTCGTTAATCTATTTCAGTCTCCTGACATTTTCGTGCGACTTTTCCCCGTTGAAATCTCCCGTGTGTGGCGTGGCCGATTATAATTCAGTTCATTCATTTTTTTTTCGCTTCATTCTACCGATCGTTTTTCGCGCTATTAACACTTTATTGATAGGCGACGTCTCGAACCAGTGACAGCCGTGAATCACTGAGAAAATTAAGCTAGATGCGTAGACGATTAAAAAGACTAACAATTTACCCTAGAATTGTGCAAATAACTGTCTCAACTTTACCCTAGGATTCTTATTTTAGTATCTGTTCCAATATGTATCTAGATCTATTTTAAAATATATAATTGAGTACACCAGGGCGTCGAAGATATTCCCGAACATTTCTTTCAACGTCTATTTCAATTT